TTGGACTAGCCCTTTGGAGCTCAATTATCACTATATGGGACAGTTAAATAAATACTGTTTTAATGAAGGTCCACTCATAACTTGAGGGTCTGTAACAAGGCTGCAATTCCCATAGCCTAGCAATTGGGTGACTGGAGCACTGAGATTTGAATACTAATGTTACTGTATCTGCATTTACCACCTGGTGGAGCTCACATACTAAAGTTACAGCTTAAGAAATAAACACATAGTTCAGTATGTTTATAAATGAATGATGTTTAAAAGGATAACCTATGAAATTATTGTGTGTGTATTCTCCCTAGTTTTCTTGGTTCCCAGATTAAGTAAGTTACTGGGCATAGTGTTATCTTGCCTGAAGAATTGGGAAAGGTGGAAGGCAGAAGAAACTGAACCCCAAAGCTGTATTTTTCTTAAACCTTTTTAAGAGGAAATATCAGAGTGTGAAGGCTGTTGACCACAGTGAGATAGGAAAACTTCCCAAAGTTTGTAAAGAGGGCAGTTGTATGTATATTCTAGGAATGATTCATATTTTTTTTTCTTTTTGGTATTCCAGAGAGGCACTAGTCCCTTTAAATTGGGATTCCTATTCTTCCTAAAGGTTCCTGTGTCCTAGGTGCAGCATCAGTAGAGGACAGAAGAACAGGTAAACTGAAATGATTGTGATTACAGATTGCCAATAACTGAAGGCTTAGCTTTGTGGCCTCTCAGAGGGGGAAGGAGYACCAAAGTGATTGGTTGAATTTACTATCAGCATGATCAAAGGGGGTCCAGAGTTTTAATTAAATTTATTTTTATTTAAGGTGTCAAAAATTTCTTATATTGCTGTGTGTATAGACTGAGCTTCCTTACCAATGACTACTATTACAATGGGGGCTTTCACTTCCCTCAAATCATTTTTAATTAGAATGTGGTTAAAAACTTTAGGTAATATGTATAGGACATCATCTTTTTTTTTTTCTAGTCCAAATTGAATTCCTCTTTTTTTCCCCTATAAATCACAGGAATCCTCTTGACATTGTTTAGGACCTTTGTTCAAAGTTCCTACATATGTATAAGCCAAATGATTTCATTAAGCAAATTCTTTAGTGATTCTTATGAAATCTTGTTTACTTAGTATGCTATGGAAGAATTCTGGGTATCTGCCCTATTTGTTTATTGGCTGTTCAGTCTATTCTATCTCTTAAATTCCTTAAGAAATTTTTACTTATGTGGCTGTAAAACCATGTAAAATATCATTAATGCTATTTCAACTTTTTTTTCAGGGACCTCTCTTCCCACTTTCCATGTCATACCTCTTTTTGCATTGCTTTCCAATCCTCATCTCACCCATGGCTCTTAATTATGTTTGCTCTGCATATTGTTTGAGTCTTCTCATTTTCCACTTGTTTGCATTGGGTATCCCAAGTTTAGCTTTTTTAAATCTAAGGTAAAAGATATAATAGAAATTTCCCCAGGCTTCATAACAAAACCCTTGACTGAATATAGCAAGACTCTTTTAACGACATTTAAAAACAAATCTTTATTTTTTATTTTTAAATTTGTTCTCACTAGTTATACATGACAGTAGAATGCATTTTGACATTGTATACAAATGGAGCACAACTTCTCCTTCCTCTGGCTGTACATGGTACAGAGTCACACTGGTAGTACAACATACATGTATATAGGGTAATAAGGTCCATCTCATTCCACTATCTTTCCGTTCCCTGCAGCCCCTCCACTCCCCTTACTCCCCTCTACATAATCCAAATTTACTTCATTCTTTCCTACCCCACCCTCCAAAATGGATCAGAATCCACTTATCAGATAAATTATTTGGCCTTTGGTTTTTTTTTTTTTTTTTTTGGAGGGGGATGTTGGCTTATTTTGATTAGCATGATATTATCCAGCTTCATCCATTTACTGGCAAATGCCAGAGTTTCATTCTTCTTTAAGGCTGAGTGATATTCTGTTGTGCATATATACCACATTTTCTTTATTCGTTCATCTGTTCAAGGGCATCTAGGTTGGTTCCATAGTTTAGCTATTGTGAATTGAGCTGCTATAAATATTGGTGTGGCTGTGTCACTATAGTATGCTGATTTTAAGTTCTTTGGGTKTAAGCCAAGGAATGGAATTTTTTTCAGGTCTTTAATTCTTTCTTTCTTTCTTTCTTTCTTTTTAGTCATATATGACAACAGAATGAATTTTGACATATAATACATACATGGAATGTACATACATCAATCATATTGTCAATTCTATTCTGCTGCCCTTCCTATCCTCCTTACTCCTCTCCTCCTCTCCCATCCTTTGCTCTCTATCCAATCTAATGTGACACACTATTTTTTTCCTTTTTCTCATCACAGCATCATATATGTATTCTGTATCATAATGAGGTTCTCCTTCCATCTTCCGTGCAACTCCCCTTCTCCCTGTTTTTCCCTCCCACCTCTCTTCCCTATTTAGTGGTAGTCTTCTTCTCATGCTCTTCTTCCCTATCCCATTTTGAGTCACCCCCAAGGAATGGAATTTTGACTGGCTCCTTTTCCTCCATCTCTTCATTCCCTTGCTTAATTCAGAGAAGGTGATGAACATAGGGAAAGTTTTTTATTTTTTATTTTTTAGTTTGGGAACTGCCTGATAACTGGTAGCCTATAGAAAAACAGATGAGCTCGAAAAGGCTTCCTGTCTGGATAGACACAACCCCTAGGTGACCTTTGCTGTCGCATACAGCTTTATAAGTGGAATCAAGTGGAAAATGAACTGGGTTTATTCTCTACTTAGCCCCTCAGTCAAGTACATTTGTGCCCAAACTCTGGCAAGTTCTATTGAATAGCCCTATTTCTCTCTTCTTTGGTGAGAAAAGTTCATTCTTAATGTGGGCATTGAGCATTAGTACTTGTTTATTCTTCTTATTATGACCTTTTGATTTAATAAGCTATATGTCATCCCCACTAGGAAGTGTACTAACATTTTCTCTATACAACATGACTTGACTCCTTGTTGTGTCAGCCTGGGATGTCTACAAATTGAAGAGAATCTGGGGAATAATGTCCCCAGCTTTTTGCAACCTCCAAATTCACTTTTAATGTGTAGGTTATTTTGTATCATCACCTCCATCAATTGTTTTATTCTCTATTGGAATAAATAAGTTTTGGAATATGATTTTTATTCCTCTTCCCTTAGTCATAGCAACCAAAAATCTCTCTAGATAATTGCCAGTTGTTGAATGGAGGCAAAAAAAAAAAAAAATCACCTCCGGTTTAGATTTCTAAAGGAACATGGTAGTTAATGTGCACATATTAAAACATGTAAAGTTTTATATTGCTTCATTTCTTTATCATGGTTACATGGAGAACCATTTAGCATTCAAAAAAGTGCTTTTGGTGGTATTCTCTTAGCTTTTACAGAAAGTATCTTGGGGAAGGATCTTTTAAGAGGACAATCTTTAGATTAAACAAAAATACTTACAAAAATATCATTTATTCATGTGTATTTTCTATGTGAATATGTTTGTATGTAAATTTATTGTTCTATTTTATCTGAGCAATTCAAATGAATTAGTGGAGCTTAGTTTAGAGAACAAGACTGAAGAGGCGGTGCTTTAGTTTTTCAGCACACACACACATACAAAGATAAAATTGTAGTAAAATTCAAAATGTCAGCATTTTGAAATAGTTTGTTCAAATATAGGGAAATCAAATTTCCTCCAAAGTAATATTTTAAAAGATGTGCTCAAGCAGCTTTTCCTGTGTTAGAAGACAATAAACTTTATAGCTAACACATTTAATTTGCTAATAAAAGCTATTTATTCTTAAGAATTTCTAAAAGGCATACTATAAAAAAGTACTTAGTTATTTCCCAAAAGGCTTTATTCCAAAAGATAAGCAAACTCAAATTTAAGCCTCCTTTATGACTGTGTTAAGTACATCTATTACATTACTTTTTGCTATAAAATCTCTTCAAATAGAAAGTAGCAAAAATTAAATCTGTGTTCTGCATGCCAAATCTTCACAATATTTCCCAGCTGTGTTGGCATTTTAAGCTAGGCTCTTACTCTTTAGAGTCAGTGTAATGAGCTATAATTGATGGTGGCAATGATGATGAAACATGAAGTGAGTGTTCTCATGTAAGCTTATTCAAAGGAGTTTTGAGCAATCACTTATGTCAGTCTTTTAAGTTTTTATAGTGAATGAACAAAATTATATTAAAAAAATCCCCACTTTGAACCTGATTTTTTTTTTTTTTTTTTTTTTTTTGCTGGCCATTAGATCAGTTTTTTTTTTTCTTTGTTGTTTAGGGGTTAAGAGTGCATTTATTTTCCAAAACTCTAGCTTCCTACATTCAATTATTTTTTCTTTAAAATAATTATAATAAAGTAGCCATGAGAAGAAAATTTATAAATTAAGCACAGGATTAGTAGATATTCTTCCTTGGTTCTTTCAGGAGTTGGTGTAATTTTGCTGTGGATATTCAAACTAGCATTCGGCATTTGATATCAATCATTAACAAGTGGACTACTTATATAACACTGAATTCAATAATGGCTTGGTAAGTTATCTTCATATGTTCAATACTTAAGTATGCATATTAATAACTAGAGTTTAATATTTTAAGGCAATATTTATATACAACAAAATGTTTAAATCTTAAATGGTAAAAAGTAAATACAAAAGAACTTATATAGAAAATATGAAAAATTTGGTTAGGAATCACTGACTTGTCCAAACACAAAGTCCTAGAAAGATACTAAAATTCAAATATGCTAACTCAATACAAAAATAATTCCTCAAAGCATGGTGCTGTCTAGAATGAATATAATAAGGAATGATGGGAAAACTGATGTTACTGAAGGATTAGTTTCCTCTTCTGGTTAAATATCTTTGTAAATCTGTGGCCCTAGTGTTTATTGTCATTTATAGAACAGAAAGCCATAGTGTAGGAACACGAATAATTTGCTTCTAGGCTTACAGGTGTAAAGTAGTTCTGTTGGCACTTTTACTTCAGTTCTTCCAGACAAACTTCTGTCCACTCTTTCACTAATTTGCATGTCATCCTCATGCAAGGACCATGATAATCTTCTCTGTATTGTTCCAATTTTAGTTCATGTGCTGCTGAAGTGAGCACCACATTAAGTTTTAAGTTATAGTTATTAGTAGTTATTAATTGTATATAACAATGGATTTATCTCTGATATTTTCATATGTGCATATAACATACTTTGATTGTGCAACCCTTCCTGTTGCACTTTGTTAATCAGCTTTAAGTTGCAGTGACCAAAGTACCTGACATAAACAACTTAGAGGAGGAAATATTCATTTTGGTTCATGGTTTCAGAAGATTCAGTCTGTGGGCAGCCAGTTGTATTGCTCTGGGCCTGAGGTCAGGCAGAAAATTATGGCAGAAGAGTGTGGTAGACAAATATGCTTAGGTCATTTCAGCCAGGAAACAGAATGAGGAAGGAAGGGTATGTGTTTCTGCAAGCAAAATGCTCTCAGTTTCTGATCTTCCCTGAGTTTTTTAGGCTACATTAAATCATTGCTAGGCTCATATAGGTTCACACAGACCTAACCACAAACTCAGGAATCTGGGTTTCAAGTTCTGGTTGGAACCATTTGCACTGTAGTCCCAAGATGGCTCCTGGTTGGGTTCTGGCTCCTGGTTGCCCTATGTTGATAAATTGAGGGCAACATTTTTTTAGACCTGTTTAATGAGTCAAAGATGTTTAATGGTTTGGATAAAGTAGACAGCCAGTTTCTGGAATTTCTTCTCTTAGCATCAGGGAGAACCAGTATTCATATTACTTGCATCCTGGGTAGCTGAGGTAGGAGAAATGTAGCTTCACCTTGATCTGCCATATTGCCCACCTCTTCTACTTTATCTTTTTTTGTTCTGGGAATTGAACCCAAAAGCATTTTACCACTGAACTACATCCCCAGTTCTTTTTATATTTTATTTTGAGACAGGTGTTGCAGAGCAGCTGAGAGGCTCACTTAGTTGTTGAGGCTGGCCTTGAATTTGCAACCATCCTGCTTCAGCCTCATGAGTTGCTAGGATCACAGCTGTGCTACACTGGGCCTGGAAAATTACACTTTTCCTATGTTGTCAACTTGAGCTGAAACTATTAGCTACAGCTATTTTTTTTTTATTTTTCCAAGATATTTTTGTTTGATAATGGCTACTTTTATGCTCCATTATCTCTTATTATGATACTACCATACATTGATAAATAACGTAGTTAGAAACTGAGTAGTTAGTGCAAAAAATTATGATACTTTACTAATTATGGTCAGTTATTCATCTGTTGCTCAATACCTAAATGTTCCAGTAAACATTTGATTAAAATCAACATTTATACATGAGGACTGATCATTATTAATTAATTTAATGTGCCACTTCTCTTATATACAATAGAAAAATATTAAAATAATTAAAAATATTAAAATATAATAGAAAAATAAAAAATAAAATATAAATAAAATCAACATTTATACGAGTTCTGATCATTTATTAATTAATTTAATGTGCCACTTTTCTTATATACAATATAAAAATATTAAAATATGGGAGATACTAAGCTGTCARTTTGAGTTTACATAATGGGAACATGTAAAAACAAAGAAAAGACTAATACAAAGAGAACCCTCATGGACATTTTGAGAAAAAACAAGATGTACTCTGCATCATCCAGTGTCAATAAATAGACAGTAAACAACAAATAGCAAACATTTACTGAGCCCTTTCATTGTGATAAGAATTTACTTTTGTTGTTTGCATCACTAGAACTAAAGTACACAACAAGAATAACTTAAAGGAGAAAAAATTCGTTTCAAGCTTTTAGTTCCAGAGCTTTAATCTGTCTTCAGGGAAACCATAACAGAAAAATTTCCAAGAAAACAAAACAAAACAGGATAACTTCATTCCTCCTAAAGTTCATAAATTATCAGCAATTGTCTAACCCAGAGAATAAGCATAGAATTTTAAGTCTAAAGAGAAAATGTCAGCTCACTTTTAGAGGCAAGTCAGTTATAACTTATGCCGATTTCTCAGCACAAACTCCAAAATTCAGGAGGGTTTGGAATGATGTATAGAAAATAGTTGTCAATCAATATTGCTATATCCAGCAAAGCTGTCTTTCAAAATTGAAGAGAAATAAAAACCTTCCAAGGCAAGCAGAAACTAAAAGAATTCATGAGTACTAAGTCAGCATTATAGACAATATATGGAAATACTATACACCCCCAAAATCAAAATCAAACTCAAGAGTTCAGGAGTGAACAAATGTCATTCTAGGATTAGTTAAGCAAATGTGAAAGAAGACCAAATTAAATATTAGAAAGAAATCAAGAAGGCAGGAATTGATAAAAATTTCTCTATATTTACATTGTAAATGCTCTTAACTCTCTGATTAAAAGGCAGAGGCCAGCAGAATGAATTTTAAAATAAAACCTAACTATATGTTGCTTGCAAAATGCAAAGACAGCTGAAAGTGAAAAGATGGAAATTGGTATTCTATGAAATGGAACTCCAAAACAAGCAAGAGTAGCTACTATCATCTGACAAAGCAGACTTCAAAGCAAAATTGATAAGAAGAGACAAATAAGGTCACTTTATACTGGTAAAAAGTGAGTGATCTAACAAGAAAATATAATGATTTTAAATATTAATGCTCCTAATGTTGGTGCACTGGTTACACAAAAGAGACACTACTTGAATTAAGGCCTCAGATAGACCCCTGTACAATAATACTGGGTGATTTCAGCAATAAATAGGTCATTCAGACATAAACTCAGCAAAGACTTTTCAGACTAAAAAATATATGAAATTTATTAACCAATATCTATAGAATATTTTATCCAACAACAGATAAAACCACTTTCTTCTCAGCTGCTCACAGAATCTTCTCCAAAACAGAACATACTTTAGACCACAAAGCAACTTATAGAATATACAAAAAAGTATAATTCCTTGCATCTTGTCAGATCATGAGGATTTATATTATAAATCAACACTAAGAAAAATAAACCCACATAGAAACTATATCACTATGGAGGTTCCTCAAAAGATGAGGCATGGAAGCACTATATGACCCAGCTATACCACTCTTGGTACCTGTCCTAAAGAATTAAAGTCAGCACACTGTAGTATTATATGCATACCTGTGTTTATAGCAGCTCAATTTACAATAGCCAAATTAGGGAACCAGTTTAAGTGTCCATCAATGGATTAATGGATAAAGAATGTGAGATAGATATATACACAATGGCATTTTATTCAGCCATAAAGAAGACTGAAATTATGTCATTTGTAGGAAAAAGAATGGAACTTGAGAACATTCTGTGAAGTGAAATTAGCAAAAATCAGGTGATTAGGGGTTGTATTTTTTTTCTCACTTATGTGGAAGAAAGGTGGGAGAAGGATCTCATGAATATTGGAGGAAGATCAGTAGAGTAGACAAAAGGAACTAGGGGTAAGGAATAGAGGAGAGAAAGGGGAAATACTAGGGAGTTACATTGGCCAAATTATATTGTTATAGTCTGTGAAGGTACATATATGTAACAACAAATTCCAGTATTATAAACAATTACAATGTACCAGTAAAAAACATGAAAAAAATATAAATCCATCAAATGGATTAATTCACTGATTAGGTTCTGGTTCTTATAATTTAGTCATTTTGACTCTTGATTTAACAAAGGAGCTTTTGGGGGACACCTCATATGTAAACCATAATGCTATATACAAAAAAAGGAATTTATTAATTTATGACTTAGTGTAAAGAAATAATATAAATAAAAGTTATTGAATTAGAAAATAAATCCAGGCATAATAGCCTAGAAAAGAGAAGTTAGTCAAAGTTGCAGAGCTTTAACAGACAAAGTCCAACAACATTAGGTAAATGAGATGATTTGTGTGGATTCCACCTTAAAGAAAAAGTGATATTGTTTGTAAACTGTATTTTACATGATTATTATAATGATAATGAACATATTTTTTAATTCAAAATTTTTTTGTAATTAATTTAAGCATAATTGCAATTGTCAGGATATTTGATTTGGGCAGAAGATACAGAAATTGTTTATGTGATATTTATTTTTTAGAAGGCATTGCATTATTTCTTAGAATTTACTACCATATGGAGGAGACATTGATGGTTATCATCATTCTGTGATTAAAGTTGATTTCCTGTCACCTTAGTGTCTATTTTTTTTAATTTGAACACACACACACACACAAAGTATGTTCACTGTTTTTGGCATAGAATATTTTGAGTTTATACATTGATAGAGTTTTATAATCAACATTCCACCTGGATATAGAACAATTGCAGTATACCAGAGAATTAGCAAATACTGACCCTTTGCATCAGAACCTTCCCCCATCCTTAGCAACTACTGATTTATTCTTCATTTAATGATTTTGTTTGTATTTTTACAGAACATAATATTAATAGAAATATATAGTGTGTAAACTTTTGAGACTTCTTTCACTCACAAAATGCCTTTAAGTTTCAATTTGTCACTATAGTAAGATTTAATTCATTTTTATTGATGAATAGAATCCCCCTGTATGGATGTACCACAGTTTGCTTGTCCATTAATTCATTGATATATATTTGGATTATTTACAATTTTAGGGAATTGTAAATATTGTTGTTGTAAACATTCATGTGTGTGGTAGGAATTTTCTATGAAAAGAATAGTTCAGAGAATGAAAGGATGAACTACTGACTAGGAGAAAATATTGCAAAGCACATTGTATCCAGAATATAGAAAGCTGACTCTTGAATTAGAAACAGTTTGCCTGAAGCATAGAAAAGAATATTAGGGGAAATCGTTGGTAATTTTGTAAAACCAGCAGGATTTTGTTTGTTCTGAATTGAAACAAAAGTAGGAACATTAATATATGGTTATATTAGTAAAGTAAAATAATATAGAACCTGGAAGGATGCCTAAATATGGACAGGCTAGATGCTGGTAGATATATATCTATGAAAAAATAGGAGTAAGATATTTAATTCAGAGTTTTATCCTGGAAAGTAAGAGGTCACTGCATACATAGGGACGCTGCACATATTTAAAATATGAGCATGTCTGATGATAAGCACTGGCATTTGAAGAGCTTTA